CCTATATTTTATATGTATATATTTATATTATATTTTTCATAGGTACATTATTGGATATGTAATTTACAGATATATATATATATATTTTGTAATTTTAAGGGGCGAGATGTGAGAGGGAATGACAACTAAAAGAAATGGGGTGATTGATATGCTATTAATAGGGAGTATATTAATTATAATTATGGCAGTTAATGAAATGCTTGAAATAAATTATAAATAAAATATGAAGTTTGGTGGCAATGATGTAAAAACATAGAAATATTACGACCTCTTATATCATACTAGTCATTTAAATTTGAAATTGGGTTTTACACGTAGATTTATAGAGTGATGGATATATGTTTAGGAAATAGAAAATATAGGGATCTATATTGGACAAGCCCTTTAATATAATATCTTTTTAGGCGACTCTAACAGCCTAACAATATAATGTTGCTTTGCTCCACTAAGATTTAGTGTCATCATCTGAAAAATTGTCTCCTATTGAATAACACAACATGAATAATCAACAAGCCTTGAGAATCAGATTTCAGCTTTAGTTGTTAGGATGTTATGTCATCTACCACTATGGTTTGCATTGGAAGATGTTTAAATAAATAAAAAAATTTAATAGCGGGGGAACGGATTCAAGTGATTAAAATTAATTATTCTACAACTGAGGTGGTGTGCTATTATTGAATCTCACTCTCATTGCAATGGGCTTGTAGCTTATATTAAACTGCTATGACTGAATCTCGTTTTTCTTACAAGAGGCTTGTAGTTCAGGTAATTAAACGTATTAACCTTTGCACTCAGAAGTTCTAGGTTCGATTTTCTCCACCTAATATATGGCTTGTATAAAAATAAAAATAAAAATAAAAATAAAAATCATTTACTCCTTCATTTTCACCACCCAAAAAGATATTAAGAGAGAATAAAATTAAGGAATTTTTCTTTTCATTTTGTACTTTTTTTGTTGGTCAAGATTTTAATTTATACTGAGGGCAAATTGTAACGAGAGAAGGGAAGAAAGCAAAAAACTTTGACCCATCGTGCGAGTCGGTGAGTACAGCAAAGGATCACCCCTCATCAACCAAATGTTAAAACGTGGCGAACAAGGACGTAAAAGTGTACAAGATGGAGAGCAAGGATGTTGCGCGTGGTAGGAGATTTTTCCTCAGCCTAAAATAGGTATCTCACGGAGGCACTCTGCGAAGTGAAGCCAGCAACAGCAAACAGAAGCAAGACTTCCGTCTCTTCACTCTCTTCTAGCTCGCCGCCGCCGTCGTCGTCTTTTTCTTGGTTTCCGAATTCGAAACCGAGTTCACTGAGCCCGAGTCACACTCAACCCAGGTAATCTTGAATTCCTATGCTACCCTTCACGTAAAGATTCAGGAACCAAAAGCACAACTAAGACACTGCATCATTATATTCTACTACTGCAACACCTTGTTTTATGGTAGCTGGTGGAATTAGGGTTTTCAGGAATCGTACCCGGACTATTAGGGTTTAGGCTTGCGCGTCGTGTTGAGGGTCTGTAAATTTGGTGACGATTAGCTTAAAGAACAGAATTTTGAGTCTCAGTCAATATTGGGGCACATTTGGCATTCGAATTGTAATGCCAGTGTGAAGCCCTGTGACCGAATCCAAATTATGGGTTCGGCGTAGGAAGGGTCAATGTCTAGATCGTTGCCAAACCCGTGGAAGCAAACAGGAGCTCGCATTTCTTTTTCTGATTTCTAGGGTTCTAAGCCTCACTGTTCGTTTTTCTTTATTAGGTTTATTATGTCTTTGTCTTTTCAAAAACTTTTTCTTCAATTTGTGGGTTTTCGCTTAATTTTATAAAGACAATTTCTTGAGCTGAAACTGAGCCATAAGGAGAAATTAAGGTTTAGGGTGTTTTGGTCACTGGTTCGTTTTTCGTTTTTGTGTTTGTTATTGCTTTAGTTTTCATAAACTTTGGCCTCAATTTATTTTGTTTTGCTGAATTTCACGTGAAGATAATTTCTTGAGCTGAAACTAATCATCAAGGAGAAATTAAGGTTTAGTTTGTTTGCGGAAATTGGTCCATTTATTTTGTTAGTTACATTAGATTTTTCTATGCTTAACTGAAGTTTGAATAATTTGTTTGGATATTAGGGTTTTAAGGGTTATGCTCCAATGCACTAGGGAGATACATGGATCAATAATGGAAACTTACACATCCATTTTGGTTGGATGTATGTAATGGATCTTAAGTTATGTGATTTTGATTTAATTTTGAGAGATGATATGAATTATTGTTACGTAGGTTTACACTGTAATTGCATGTGTTTATTTACTTCTTTTCCTTTGATGTCCTTGAAACAGGAAGATATGAACAGGAAAAAGAACCCTTGTGTCTTCTTAGATGTATCAACTGATGGGGACCCAATGGAAAGAGTTGTTATAGAGGTACGTAAAGTCAGTCACACCTCTTGTTTGGTTGAGTTTTTAGCTTGCTTTACCTTTTATAAAAGCGAACTTTTAGCTTGCATATAAAGATAAGGATGCACTTGTTTCCCCTGAAATGTGCAGCTTTTTGCTGATGTTGTTCCTAAGACAGCAGAGAATTTTAGGGCCCTCTGTACAGGTAATTCTATTGCGCTTGTCAGTAATGAATTAAATGTTATGTATGTTGGGAAAAGTGTTCAGTTTTTATTTCTAAAAAGTTTGAGGAGGCAGATTTGGTTTATTTTATTTTATGGATATATTCGGTAGAATTACAAAGACTGTAGGATTTGTCAGCATAAGAGCTACATTGGTGTGGCTGAAGAAAATTAGTTTTGTAAACCTCTGTACTGGTTCTTTTATCGGATTTGTAATTCTAGTAAGCAAATCCATGATTATAATGTTTGGTTCCTAACTTTTTAATCTTCTTGTTATGAGTTATCTGTTACCTACATTTTTCATCGATTAAATGATCTATAGTGTGACATTTTTGTGTTATCTTCTGTTATAGGTGATAAGGGCATTGGAAAGTCTACAGGCAAACCTCTCCATTACAAAGGATCACAATTTCATCGAATTATAAAAGGATTTATGGCCCAAGTATGTTGTTTTGTTTTTTGTTGAACCATTTGCATTATCGAATTTTACTTATCTTCCTGAAAGGACAAACCACTCTTGTGCCTGGCACAAATGTGTTATGGACTTTTTATTTCCCGACTGTCCATTTCTTTCCTTTATATGGCTGGTAAATGTGTTTTATGTACAGACTTTGCTATGCCAATACTTAATCCTCTATCACAAAGCTTGTATTAAAAATGCCTAAAAACCAGTTTTATCATTTGATGCTTTGAGTGATTTAGTTTTCAATTATCTAGATGTGGAGGATGTGGAGGATGATGATGTTATAAGTGGAGATAGCGAGTTTTTCTGTTCTTTCCTCTATGATTCCAGCAAGTTATTTATTTACCTTGTAAGTACTAACATATACATGATTGTTCGTCTCTCTCTCTCTCTCTCTATACACAGGGTGGTGATTTTTCAAATGGAAATGGTATGACTTTCTTCATGTAAATCAATTATTTTGTTTGATGAATGCAAATTCTCTGTTTGACTTCTTAATTCATGCCCAGAGTAAGGATCGACCTTTGATTGGTTTGCAGGCACTGGTGGAGAAAGTATTTATGGAGGGAAGTTTGCAGGTAGATTTTGTGCGTATGAATTTACACACTTGCATGCGTCATAAATATTTAATTGTTCTTATGGATTTCATTTCCCTTGCAGATGAAAATTTTAAATTGAAGCATGATGGACCTGGTCTTCTGTCTATGGCAAATGCTGGTCCAAACACAAATGGGTCCCAGTTCTTTATAATCTTCAGGCGCCAGCCTCATCTAGATGGGTAATTTATATTGCTTCTTTTATTTGTAGTTTGAGGTTAGATGCTAGATTTGCTCATTACCCTCAGCCATAAATCTTGTGTAATTTCCATTGTTCACCATCTTTGAAAAGAATATTTTATGAGGGTCATTTTAGAGATATTTGAATGATGTATAGTCATTAACTCCATTTTTAATTTATCTTCTTTGTCAGGAAACATGTTGTTTTTGGAAAGGTTGTGAAAGGAATGGATGTAGTTGAGAAAATTGAGCGAGTGGGATCAGCGGATGGAAAACCTTTCCAAACTGTGAAAATTGTAGATTGTGGTGAAGTCTCTGAAAGTAAAGTCCATGGTGCAACAGAGAAAGAGAGAGGTAATGTGTGCATATATAATATAAGTGCTCATGCAAGAATTTTTTTATTTCTTATAAATACTGTATGTAGTAGTAGCACAATGCATCTGACATGTGATCGGTCTTTCTTTCAGTTAAAAAGAGGAAATCAGGAAAGGTTTCATCATCTGAGGATAGTTCTGATGGGGAAGCAAGAGGAAGGCGTAAAAAATCCTTGAAGGGAAAAACAAAGAGAAGGAGATACTCTTCGTCTGAATCCAGCTCAGACATGTCTGAGTCTAATTCCTCAGATTCAGATTCAGATTCAGATTCAGATTCCTCTCTATCTGACTCAAGTCCGCCTAGTGGTGGAAGGCGCAGGAGGAGGTCTGTTAAAAAAGGTAAGCACCAGCGTTCAAGGAAAAGAAGAGATGGAAAAAAAGAGAGGAAGAGAGGCCGGCATGCCAAACGATCAAGGCGCAAGACAAAACGGTCTGATTTCTAGTTTCCTCAAACAGCACTTTTTTTTTTCTTTCTGTTTTTCTGCATTAGTCTCCTTAATTCTGATTATGATCTTTTGTTTTCTTTTTCAGGAGATTGGAAAGTTCAAGTGATACAGAAAGTGAGAGTACTAGAAGCAGCACAAGCAGTTCTGATGATGATAAAGATGGTCCTCATGTTACTTCTCGTAAAACCAGTAACCTAAAGCGTGCAGAAAAAAATCTTTCAACAAATCTTGGTATGTCACCTATTTCATTACAAGATACCTCTATTACCTGCTAATGGTTAATGTGATTTATTTTTTGTTAGCATTTACCATATGTACATATATATGTTGTGTGTATGCACACGTGCAAGACAGCAAGGGTTTTAAATAGATTTGTTTGAATTCTTTCCTTCATTTTATAGTCTAGTGTGAACTTATGGTTTCTCATGATGATACAGATGTGGGAAAGGAACCCCCTCCTGTAGTTAAAAAAACTGTTGTTCAACGGAGGAACAATCATGATAGGGAGAAAAGTGAGGACAACTCATCCCAAGAAGAAGGTGAATTGTCTCTGAAGAATGATGCGCGTATAAATAATGGGCATAATGCAGAAGCCAAAACAGCTAATCGGAATTCCTACTCAGATGACTCCAGGTTTCTACTGTTAACTTGCTTCCCTTTTATATATTTTTAATGTATATATGGGTTCAGTTGGGCAGATCGTGCATAACTGGTATTTAATACTTATTTTATTGCTTGAAATTTCTGTGCATATTTAATCAGCAGAAGTCCGACTCGCAAAAGGAGGTCAAGAAGCAGTCCAAGCATAAGTCCTAAAAGAATTTCAAGTGGAAGTTCGCCAGGGAATTCTGGTGAGCAAAACAGAGGAAGGCCTTCTAGGAGTCCATTGGGCAGCCCTGTCTACAAAGGCCCTGAACCTTCTACCCATGACCGGGGTTTGTCAAGAAGCACTACTCCAAATGGCACTCCAAAGCGTGTTAGAAAAGGACGTGGCTTCACTGAGCGCTATGCCTTTGCCCGTCGCTACCGCACTCCATCCCCAGAGCGGTCACTTCGTAACTCCTATCGCTATGGTGGAAGAGACGTGTATAGAAATAACCGTGATAGGTAATTTCAGGATCATGCGATCGAATTATGAGTAAGAATGCATGAGCTCAAAATAATTCATCTTTGGTGTTTTTTGAAGGTACTCAAACTACAGAAATTATTCTGAGCGCTCACCACGTAGACGTTTCCGGAGCCCACCAAGAGGTGGGAGCCCTCCCAGGTTCTCTCTCTCTCTCTCTCTCACAACCTGCCTGAAGAAACGCTGAGCCATTGTATAAATTAAATATCAACTGTATGCTGGTTTGCATCAACTATGGACTCGTAGGTCTCATCAAAAGATGAGGAAAAGTCACAGCTAGAATGATCCTTCTGTTTAGAGGGAAGAAGTAAAACCATTGTGATTTTGTTTGAAACCCATTACTTGGAGTATGCCATAAGGAAAAATCTGTGGCATCATCCCTAAGTCCTCTCAAAGAATATAGAGAAATTGTTACAATGCTTATAATTCAGAAGCATTTATCCTATCCGTCAATAAATGAGTCACACTGGATGAAATTGAACTTGTTGAACTTTTGAGTCTTTATATGTGATGACTTGGGAACTATGGCCGTCGCTGATAGTGGCTTTTGTATGGATGTGTGTACTTAATGTCACATGTTTATAGAAAGTGCGGGAAGAAAACATTTGACTTGATGACTGGATTATATTACCTGGTGATTTCAACTACTGGGAAGAGGATCTTGGCTCCTTTAGTATTTTAGCCAGAACTGTAGTTTTACTGCATTATGATCCTGCAATTAATTGGATTTGTTGGTTTTTTCTTGATATTGATTGGTTTTTCTGTTTATATAGATACAGAAGCAGGAGAAGTCGAAGTAGGAGCAATTCCCGCAGCCCTGGTGGTTATCGTGGCCGTAATAGGGACCGCAGTCGCAGCCGTAGTCCTAGTCTAGCAGATCGACCTCCTGTAAGTGAGAGACTAAAATCCCGCCTTGGACCCCGAATTGGTGATCAGCACTCTCCAGACACAGGTAGGGCCAAGTCCAGGTCAAGGAGCCGAGGGCCCTCTCATTCCAGATCTCCAGATGCTACACCAAAGCGTCGTAATAGAACTCCTAGGTCTCCCAGCAGGTCAAGATCAAGCTCCCCATCTGGACAAAGGGGTTTGGTTTCATATGAAGATATCAGTCCTTAATCTTTATTCCTGATACTGGGACAAGGGTATGCCATCTTGAGCAAGGAGAGAAGCAAATGATTTCTTGCACCGGGACAAAAGGTAGTGGCATCGTGAGTTCATGTATCTGTATGCAGACAGAATGGATCAGTAGGCATTCTAGGTTTATCTGTCTCATTGGATCTTTGCTTTCACATGGCGATGTAATTTGAATGTAATAATATACTTTTTTTTAAGGATTTTGAGTGGGGTTTTTTCCCCCTTTTTTCGTGCCATGGTGCAAGATACCGAGGGATTTAATTCCGAGACAAACAGCGATGCTGATTTTGAGCCCCAGAAAAAAAAACAAAAAACAAAAAACAATTTTGTAGGGGCGTTTGATGCCCCAGATTCTTACGAATTATGTGTCCATTTTCATTTCTTAGAAGGATAAAGTGGAATAAATCAATTCGTCAGTGAAAAGAAACCTACACATTGAAGCATCACACAAATTTAATTTTATTGGAGATCATCAAACGGTTGATAAAGAAAAATTAAAAATGTGATTGGAACTTTATTAGCGATCATCAACAATTCAGTCTCATCCTGCATACACACACTACGACAACTATGCCTGCCTACTAAGAGTGAAACCAACCAAAAGCACACGAAAAGATGCTGAAATATAATGTTTTCTGAGGCTCTCTCTCTCTCTCTCTCTCTCTCTCTCTCTCTCTCTCTCTCTCTCTCTCAGATTGGTTGACCTTTGGGTACAATTTGATCCTTGAGCCACATGTATATAGGCAACAGAGCAAAGTATGTTGCTGCCATGACACCCAAGATGAACCGCACAAAGAACGACCACGGATTTACGGGCTTTGTCACATCCTCTTCTTTTGGACCAAGCTGCATCCAAACACAAAGACAGATGAAGAGCAAATAAGATAGAACATAGAATGAAGGAACCACACATTACAAAACAAGATCAATATCGTTTTTGAGTTGACAGGAACTTCCAGTTCAAATAATCATTATAGTGCAAGTATAACCAAACTACTACACAATTAGAATCCACTAGTTTCATCAAAGTGATTGGCTATAAACCGATAAGAAATCGAACCCAGAAGAGTAGTAATCATCAAGACATAGGTCAAACAGAGTTCTCCATGAGAAATTACCTGTAAAGGAGAATCCCCGGATGCTGGTTTAATGCCTGTTACAGAACATCCCATTATCAATCCATGCCGGCGAACCCCACGATACCATTTTGGGCCAATTCTTTTCAGTTGGACATCTTTAAACCCTGCCTTTTGGAACCATTCAATGTACTCTTCCTCCTTTGGGAAAAGCATCCACACATCTGCAAAGAAGCGAGATAACCAAAATGTTGGGTACACAGGACCAATTAAGCATGCTTTTCCTCCAAGTTTTAAGACCCTGTATGCTTCCTTGATGCCACGCTGTGGGTCTGGCCAGTACTCAATGCTGAGAATATGCAATCATTAGAAAGATTCTAAGAAAGTTAGAGTGTATGTGTAAACTCAGGATGAATTAAAACTGAATATCATCCTGCAGATTATTACCACATATTTGAGTTCAATCATTCAAATGAAGTGTGCATATGAAAACCCAAAAAACACTTGCATGTAGATGCTCCTATCAGCCATAATGAAAAGGGAGTTTAGGAAACACAATTCAGACTGATACGTTCTTAATTTCACATTAATGTTTAACTCTTCCTTCAATAACACTCAAATTGACAGACGTGGACACTGATGGCATTCTAAATAGGCGAAGACTACCTTCTAGCCTTTAAATTGACATACAATCAACAGATTACATGGCAACTTGCAATTTCAAGATTAAGAAAAGCTAGAAAATACACCAAATGAAAGCAGTATGAGCAACGTACCTTCCAGCAGATACATATCGATCAGCGTAATCAGTTCGAAAAGGGAGGTCCTCAGCATCACCCTCAATAATCTTGCAATCCTTCAAGGGCTCCTTCTGCTTTGCCTTGGCGAGCTGATGAGGGGACTGGTCAAGAATGGTGACATTCTTGGCATCCACATGCTTAACTATACCCAAAGTGGTGAAGCCAGTACCACCACCAACATCTACAACAATCATATTCCTGTTGCTGAGATCAGCTGGTTCAAGTGCCTCATCCCTCATGTCCTCAGTCCAATGCCCAGGGTTTATGACATGATCATACACAATTGAGAGGAACCTATAGAACCAAAAAGCCTCTTTCTTGTGCTGAATGAACCTAGGCTGGGATGCTGGCCTAGAAGCTGAGAAGCTGCACTTGGGCACAATGGTTCTGGAGCAAGACTTGGAAATTCTTGTACTTGAAACCAAACCCATCTTCAGAAATTGCTTCCCATGAAGATCTGACCCCATGAAACCCAACCCGTGTGGGGTTATGCCTCTGATGAGTGAGAGGTTCTCAGCCCCATTGAGCATTGCAGAGACCATGGTTTGATCAATGATCAATCAGAATAAACCCACAAAGAAAAGCTAGTAAATTTCACTTGGGTTCAGTAATCTGATGACTGCAATGAAAACCCACATGCAAATTTAGCAGCTTTTGGGTTATTTCTTGCCACTCTCAGTGGATCAATGTGCTTTCTGTGTTCATTTTTATCTCTCTTGAACTGGAGCAACAGACAAAAAATGTACAGTGGAGCTTACCAGTTGAGTGAGCTTGAAAGGGAGAACCTTGTCAGCGTTGAACACACACCACAAGTTTTGGCCTAGAGGTATATACAAACAAAAAGCTTGTGATTGAACTGTGACTAAGCGTTCTTGTGGTGGTACTTGCAGTTACGAAACAAAGATTAAATGTTTATTTTTTCCTACTTTTTATGGTTTAATTCCTTTTTTTTTAAGGCCTGAATATTCCAAAAGTAGAAGCAGAAAAAAGCTTTTAACTCATCAAGAATGTATTCTATCAATTAAGGCATATCCGTCCAAAAACAATATAAACAAAGGCAAGTACTAATTACTAACAACTGAATTCTAATTTTTCAGAAATTTTATTTGCATTTTAAAAAAATAATCTAACCTCACTTTTCCATTTTTGTTTGTTTAATTGGAGATGACAATAATAAAAATTAAAAAAAAAGTGGAAAAGGAGACGATAGGTGGTGATACCAGAGAAAAAAGTAGAAAATATAATCTAAACAGAGTTCACAAGAGTTCATTTTTTTAAGTTTCAGTTTTATATATTTTCTCTTATTAGTTCAATCCTCATCTCTTATACATCTCCTCCTTCCCTACATAAAATTTCCTCTCCATATCGTTCTGAAAACTAAGTAGAAGCAAAAATCTTACTCAACCACATTAACACGTTCTTTTTTTTTTCTATATCTAACTGCTACATTAAAGACTTGACAAAATAAAATAAAATATTTTTCGTGATAAAACTGATGTCTTTTCTGATAATATTGATGTCTTTCGTGATAAAATCTCACACCCTCCATGTCATATCAATTAACATTAGTATGTGTGGTCCCGTTTGGTAATTGGGTGCGTACTCCCTTTTCTTATTAGCGCATTGACTTTACACTTGCATAGAATTAGGAATTAATTGAGATTCAGATATGCATATAGATTACTTTTTTGGCCATGCACAAGAGTACAAACACTACTCAAGATTTTTATATAATAAATAAAAAATCAAATAGAGACTACATTAGATAAAATTTAACAGTACAATCAAAGACATTAATAAGATATCTAAAATACCAATCCTAAAAGGACAACCAACTAACATACTAAAAGCAAAACTAATGCAAACAAAAGTCGCACTAAAACTACTAGCTCACATCACTACAATTAATCATAAGTCCTTTGTCCAAAAAAAAAAACCATAAACTCAAATAAAGCCCACAAACCCAACATAACCAACCCATGAGCCTAGACAAACCCAATCACTACCACCTAAAGAAGCGCCGTCGTGGCCACACTCACCACCGCATTGTAATAGATCTGGGGAAAATATGATTTCCAGTGATCTACATGAGCATAATAGCTAACAAATAAATGAAAATAACAACCTTACCAAAGAACAATTGAATAATTTGCAGCAACTTTCATAAAAAACGATGTAGAATTAAATTTAGAGAACATGAGCAGCATTAGAGAGCGGATTTTGGGAGCAAGATTTGATTGAGAACATAGACTAAAATGGGTGATAAGAAACTTCAATCTAACAATGGCTCAGAAGAAACCACCACAAGGGGATTTTTATTTAAAACACTCCAGTGAACTTATTCACTAACTTAAAAAGAAAATACTGAAAGTGAAGAGGGGGAGAAAGGGATGTGACGATTCTTACTCAAGAATCAAGAATAGATTAACTAGTTAATTAATTACTTTAATTTAAATACTATATTCCTTCTTAGGAACCATCAATCATTGGCCAGAGGATTTCGGCGGGAATTCCTGTGCCTTAACTTGTAGCCGTTGGACTCCCCGTCATTATAAAGAGACGAGACATCAAACATCTTGGAATCTTTTTCTAACCATGCTCATGAATCTCATCTTCATAATTTTAAATTTAATAGCTGCCGAATTTACAATTTTAACCATAGGCATATGCGGCAGTCAAGCTGAAAATTACAAATATACCAGGGACGTATCAGTAATTACACAACAAGACGGCTTTTTCAGATCCATTAATCACAACAAATCACGTAGAATTAAAATGGTCCAGACATTTTACAGCGAAGCTCCGAATTTTCAAAGCCACAATACACACAAATTATATATAAGTGCACCTCGCCATCCCATTCAATACTCAAGCTTCACTTCACTTTCTATCATCCCACGCTAAACTCTAAACTCTAAACTCTAAACTCGTTAGTTCATCATGATAGAGCTTCCCGATAACCTCCGCCCTGACGAGGCAAGCCCCGATTGGTTGAGCAAGGGCGACAACGCTTGGCAGCTCACGGCCGCCACGCTTGTCGGCATGCAAAGCGTGCCGGGCCTCGTCATCCTCTACGGAAGCATAGTAAAAAAGAAGTGGGCCGTGAACTCGGCCTTCATGGCCCTCTATGCCTTCGCAGCGGTCTTGGTCTGTTGGGTCGGTTGGGGCTACCAAATGTCATTTGGGGATGAGCTCTTCAAGTTCCTCGGCTGGCCCCACGTGGCCATGAACCAAAAGTTCCTCCTGGAGCGAACATTCGTTGGGTATCTGCCAAACGCGACCATGGTTTATTTTCAGTTCGTATTTGCGGCGATCACGTTGATTTTGATTGCTGGGGCATTGTTGGGGAGGATGAACTTTCATGCGTGGATGCTATTTGTTCCCCTTTGGTTGACATTTTCTTATACAATTACTTGTTACAGTATTTGGAACCCCCATGGGTGGTTGGCTAAGATGGGCGTTATTGATTACTCTGGTGGCTTTGTCATCCACCTCTCCTCCGGTGTCGCTGGTTTCACAGCAGCTTACTGGGTATGTTTGTAACATAATATATTGATGTTATACTGCCGTCAATCGTTCATGCACACGTGATTTTTTATGTCTCGCCATAAAAAAGGCAGGCTTAGTGTAACACTAAAAGTTTTATTAATTAATCAGGTGACTTGAGTTGGTTTTATAAAACAATTACAGGTATTGTCTTTTATGGGTGCAGGTGGGGCCAAGGGCAACCAATGACAGGGAGAGGTTCCCGCCGAACAACATCCTGCTTATGCTGGCAGGGGCGGGCCTACTGTGGATGGGGTGGACTGGATTTAACGGTGGAGATCCTTACATGGTGAGCACAGACGCATCTCTGGCCGTCCTCAACACCCACGTGTGCACTGCCACTAGCTTGCTAACGTGGCTCTTGCTTGACATTGTTTTCTTTGGGAAGCCCTCTGTGATTGGTGCCACTCAGGGCATGATCACCGGCTTAGTTTGCATCACCCCGGCTGCAGGTATATATATTAGTCACTTCACATTTTATATACCCTTTTGCTATAGTTTGAAAGTATGATTAAATATCATGTGTACTTAAACATAAAGGTGTATAGTTAGTAGTATGAAATTAATTCTGTTAATTTGGTTTGCGTTAGCATATAGAGCTGGTCCTAAAATTCTGGAGTCCGAAACGAATGACATTTAGATAAACTTTTTCAATAATTACTCACAAAAATCTATTGTTATAGGTGTGGTGCAAGGGTGGGCAGCAATGACCATGGGAGTAATGTCCGGAAGCATCCCATGGTACACCATGATGGTCCTCCACAAGAAAATCAGTATCCTAAAGCATGTGGATGACACGATGGCTGTGTTCCACACCCACGCCGTGGCCGGAAGCCTAGGGGGCATCCTCACCGGCTTCTTTTCCCATCCGAAGCTATGCCGAATCTTCTATTTGGTAGACGATTGGCAACACTATATTGGCCTAGCCTATGGATTGAAAACTGGCCAGGTTAAGGCAGGGTTCAAGCAAATGGGAATTCAAATCCTTGGGATATTGTTTGTCATTGTTGTGAATGTGATCATCACTAGCATAATTTGCTTCCTCTTGGGGCGCTTTATCCCGCTGAGGCTCAACGAAGATGAGTTGCAGATCGGAGATGATGCAATTCATGGAGAGGAGGCTTATGCATTGTGGGGAGATGGAGAGAAGTATGATGGTTCAAAGCACAATTCAGTTTATGGCTTGGAAGAGTTTGCTCTAGTGCCGCCTAAAGCTGAGGCCTGAAGTTGAAAATGCCTTTGTTTTTATTTTTATCTTTATTTTGGTTGTGTTGTGTGTTTTCTCTGAAGAAAAATATAATGTATTATACTATTATGTACTCAGCATCTAATGTAATAAGAAGTTAACCATATGGACAACAACACAGGTTGGTCATTCGATAGAAATGAACCTCTCTTGCCTTGTTTGTGTGAAAACCCTCTGCATTTATTTAAAACATGGATCCCTAAAAGAATCATGTGCAACTTCACCCAAGACACTAGGCACATGCTCTAGCCCTATGACCTAGAGCACAGCTAATGTTTCCTGAAAGGCAAGTTTCGTCATAGATTTAAGATTTGGTTTTAGTGACAATATTGCACCTATATTAATACTAATACTTTAAAAATAGAAAACCTTAGTGATATCATGCACTCAAATTATATCATGTGATCGTATTTCAATATTATACAATAATTTATCGGACGATTTTGTTGAGCAAAAGTCTTCACGATTGGCATTTAGCAAGTACAATCTTGGTCGTCAAAAACCCATTTTGCATCCCAAGCTCATTATCCATGGCAAAGTCCAAATCTACATTTGGAAATTCATTTTAAAACACTTGATGTTTATTTATTTTAATTTTTTGTAAGGATCTTTTATATTGAGATGAGCGATAATATACTAAATTTACACATATTACATAGATACTAAGACTTAAACTCAAAATCTTTCATAAAAAAAATAATTGTTCTAAACTATTACACTAATGGATCGTTTGCCACGTGTCACGTATGAAAGTAGAAAGAAACATAGAAGATGTCTATGGGAAACAGAAAGAGACAGACACCAAAAAGGCAGGCACTTTTCCAAGTGGGAAGTAGCTAGCTGCGGTCTCTGTTCCACTAGAAAACACATCATCAAATGTACATTAAAATAGAGATCAATGAATATTAT